AAATTTTTATTTTCGTTCTTAGATCTGCTATGGCTTAACTGAAACAAGCCCTGTCACCACACAGACATTGATGGATGACCCGATAGATTTGCGAGTTTCTACGATTGGACATGTTCATCCAAATAATGAGGTAAGTGTTTGATGGCATATAAAAGACATCTTTGGCAAGGACTTCTATTTTGTAAACCGCCAAATAATACACACCTGTTGCAGGCGAAAATCGTGGACAGTGATGACCGTGTGGTACCTGTCAATACAGCAGGGGAGATTTGCTTTCGAGGTTACAATGTCATGCTGGGATACTGGGATGACAAAGAAAAGACTGACGCCTGTATTGACCCCAGCGGTTGGTTTCACAGTGGGTAAGTACTTCATAAAATGTTCTGCGAAAACGCAGAAATGTACGTTTGATAATTCGCTTTTAATCGAATCGTTTGGTGACGCTATTCACTATTGCCGATTTTTAAAGGGATTTAGCCACGATGGACGAAAATGGATTCATAAAGATCATTGGGCGAATAAAGGTATTTTTTGTCTTAATCTGCGGGTGAAAAAAAATTTCTAATTTTGAATTTTCGGTCACCAATACTGAATAAAAGTACAATAATGTATTGTTACCGTTCATTTCCACGATAAGCTAGGTAACAGTTTATTTCTTTTTCTTTTATAACTTTAATTCTTTTTTGAAGGATCTTATTATTCGTGGAGGAGAAAATATTTATCCAACAGAGGTGGAACAATTTTTGTACACACATCCTAAGATACAAGATGTTCAGGTAAATTGACTGTTTCACAGTCATTTTAATCCTTCTCTTGTTCCAGTTAGTACCTATTGTTGTCAATTTGATCTGCGGCTTTCGCCTGACATTATAAACACATTCAACACAGCGTCGGTTGGAGCTGTAGATAGGAGAGGTTATTTTTGGTTAGTTTGAGCTCAAATGGCCCATGACTGCTTCTGCTTATACCCGATTTTCATTGCATGAAGCGACTACGACTATTTTTACCCTTCCTGGGTGGGATGCTAGCGCATAAGAGGTGACTTCCCGCATTCCATCAAGCGCCCCTCTCCACTCCCACTGAGGTGAAAGAGACACTGTGAGAAAAAGTGTCGTGCTCATTGAGAACACAACTCTATGACTTAGCCGGACCAATGAGCCAGCGCGCTCTAGCTAACTGCTAGACAACTACGTTTTACTTACTTAAATTCAAATAAGTTAGTTATTTTCTTTCTTTTTTCGGCCTCCTTTCAGGTGATCGGTGTTCCGGACCCTCGATTGGGAGAAGAAGTCTGTGCATGGATTAAGTAAGAATTAAGTTTCTTCCCGGAAGTATTGTTCTTAGCGATAGTCCTTTTAAGGCATTCTTCTCTCACGACCGAAATGCGGAATGTTCACCATACGAAAGTGAGATGAAGAGCACGTGATCATGAATCGACTAATCAGCCAGGAGAATTTAAATTCTCAAGGCGTTCTCACGGATGTAGTTAAATTCTGTCTTGATTGGATGATCTATTTGCCAATTCGATACTCTGACTGGCTTCTGGTCATAAAAAGTCGTCTTTTAATGTACTGTGCGGGTAACATTGGCATCATAATGTCAGATACATCTTTGTGTTTTGAATCGCCTTTGTCTGAACGAAAAATGATCTTTATTAGGTTGCACGCAGGTGAAACAGCCACACCGGAAGAAATCAAAGAATTTTGTAAAGGCGAGGTAGGTTTAAAGACCACTTCGACTTTCGTTCTTAATGAAATCAATTGCGTCAAAATCCCCATGTTGTCTTTTTTTTCACATTTCTTCAAATTGCGCCTTTTCCAGCCGTTTGATGTAAGCCAATCACTGCTGAGTATAATAGTTGAGAAAGTGACGCCGATACAATCGGCCTCATCGCTTGAAGAAGACTTATAGTATGCAGTCGAAGCGTTGCTCTTTACATCCGAACTGACTTCATTGTGGAATAAACGATGATGCTTCGTTTCAAATATCTGTTCCTTTTTTTTCCAGATCTCTCATTTTAAGATTCCTCGCTATATCAAGTTCATTGATGAATTTCCTCTCACTGTGACGGGAAAGGTAAGAATGCCGGGTATAGAAACGGGAATACACAAAAAGATACAAAATCATTCAGGGTTTTCAAGACGCAGCGGAAGGGGAGTTAGTAGTCATTTTGTCACTAAGAACCTGTTACCCAAACTAATGAGAAACTCAAATTTCGCGTTTCCTCAGGTGAAGAAGTTTGTTATGCGAGAGAAAACTAAAGAAGAGCTGAATCTTTAAATCAAGGAGAGATGATTGCAAGAAAAGATTTTAAAGCAACGATCTTCACAATGCGTTGGCTGGACCATATGGGACACTTTGGTGATACTTTCCTCGGACCAATCACGTCTAACTTTATGAAACAATTTCAAAACGTGCTTCCTTGAAGTATAATCATGCGCTGTAAGAATGTGAAATTCTTCATCCTTATATATATATAAATTAAATTACTAAGAGGACGCGTAGAAAAGACAAAGGTTTCTTAGACTTACTTTTAATGGCATCGATGAACTGTAAAAGAATACAATAACGGAGACACACTTTCGTTTGAGGTACGTGTCGAAGAAAAAAGCTCCGTGAAGATATAACTATTAAAATAGATTCTACGTAAAAGTACACGGTTAAAACAGTTCTATTTTTACTACTTTCTTAAAACAAAATTTCTGTATCCTTTTTGCTCAGAATTACGTTGCATAAAATTTGTACTCATTTTTCGCTTGTTCCCTCATGACATATTTCAAAACCTAAAGAGAAAAAAGTTTATTAGATTGATTAAAAGCTCTCCCATATATTTACTGAGGGGGGCACTTTTATTTCGCAGCGTTTTTTCGTGGAACTTAAATAGTGACGTGAACTATCACCAGTAATAATTATAACTGTTATTGTTGTTTTTCAGTAAATGGTTTGAACACAGGATTAAGAGTTGATCGTATGATCTGATGGCCCGGGTGAGAGTAGTCCTGGAAAAAAACTGATGTCGGTTGTGGTGACTAACGTTTCGACAACCGCGGTGGAAGTCGTCAGTAGAGCCTCCGGTGAAGTCATATCAGAGTCTCTGATGACTCTGAAAATGACTTCCGCTAAGGTTGTCATAACGTCAGTCACTACTATCAGCACCAGTCCTTCTCAGGATTACTCTCACTCGTGCGATCTGACTTCACCATCAGCTGTCGTTGTTTAATGTCGTAGAATACAATTTAAACCAGATTTGACCACCAAAAAGAAAAAAAAAAGCCAAGAAAAATCTCTACCGACTACTTTACCTTTCCAGACGCTGTCATTGGATAATCATCAACGAATTTGATATACCGAGGAATCTTAAAATAAGCAATCTGTTGAACCCAAAATAAGTGGTAAATTAGGGCCTTTCCGCACTAGCGATAAAGTTGTTTATTTAGACAAATTTACTGTCATCACCAACATTTTACAAGTACCTTAATTGATGTTTGGGGAAAAAAGGTTAGGTGTGCACTCGAGCCAAGAGGCCCCGCTTCCTGTAACATGAAGCGACTCTTAATTGCTACTCCCCTGTATGGAATGCAAATTCATTGCAGGTTACCCACCCCTCCCATCTCCCCAGAATTTCGTCAGGGTACCCTGACAATTCGCCAGTACCCATTTCTACTAATGAAATGTGATAGTCGTATGTCTTACTCAGGAACAGCTTAATAACCCGGCCAGGTCATAAACGCGGAATCCAGCGCAGCGACAATTAGGCAGCCGCTAATCTTGTACCCAGATCCTGCCGTGTACCTGTAACTGAAATGTGTAACCGCTTGGCTGAGAAAGGTCTGGGTACGAGACTAGGCAGCCGCGTTTTCCTCCAAAATGATTTTGACAATCGTGGAAAAAGTAACTCGACCACAAAGAAAAAAGTAAATTCGTCGATGAAAAACCAACTACTCGTCAGTGATTAACAAACAGCATATTGATCCATTCCTGTGACTGAAAATCAATTAAGCGTTCTCCTAATTTCACAGCCAAGACTGAAAGATGTTGTACGTAACCTGATCCTTGCAGAAATCTTTAACCTCCCCCGCAGACATAGTTTCTCCTGCTCTCAGCCTAAAAGAGGGCGCAAAAAATATTTATAATGGAGACTGTAAGTTCTGACTGCGGTTTTTACCAGAGTACACGGCAGGTTTGTGAAGTTTACCTCACTGAGTAAGATTATGGCAACGCGACCGGTGGGTGCACCATGTAAGCTCTATTCATTTATAGCAAAATGGCCTTTGAATGGAGTAACTTACTTTATCCAAGCACAGACCTCTTCTCCAAGTCTCTCGTCTGGCACGCTAATAATCTAAACAATTGAAAACCTAATCATAAACTTCGCAAATTATTTAAAGAAAAAGACATCCTGAACATAATTTCTCTCATACACCGTCCCTTAAAAGTCGAAGCATAATGAAATTTTTGTTGCTTTCGAAGATGAGGTAGGCACAAGTTTTAAATCATTCAAGTATGAAACCAATGTGTATGCCATGTGTCCCTTATTTTACAATTTTAAAAGATCACTTACACAATTTGGATACACTTACATTTACTACAACCTGAATCAAAAAAAAATCGGCAAATATTTTGCCCTCTCAGGGATATATGTATCTTTACCTGTGCATCCTGTATTTTAGGATGAGTGTGTAGAAAGTATTCAATTTCTGCTGGGTAGACGTTTTCTCCCCCACGCATTATAACATCCTGTGGAAAGATCAAATGGTTTTCAGTAATGCGGGTGCAAAGTAACGAAAAACATTCCAAGAGTTTCTCGATTGAGTGACGTAATCACATCAGCCAATCAGAGCAAGGCAAATTATCCAAACTGCTTGAAGCGCGGAAAATGTTAGTGAGTCGTGCTTGGTTTCAGTTTCGCATCTGATTGGTTGAAAAGTTAGGACGAGTTTTCTAGACCAATCACAGAGTGCGGTGGAGTAAAGACTAAAACGGTCTCAAATTATAAATCAAAGTTACCTTCAATCTTCCAACGATCCTCACATATCCACGTTCATCCATTGTTCCCAGATCCCTAAGAAAAATAAGTTTTTTTAAATAGTGAGGCGTGGACCGGAGACAGCTGAAGTTGTTAGCTTGAAATGCGCAATTATCAGTGTGTTCGGTAGAGTGTTAAGTGCTCGCTCAGTATATTGGGTTTGCTCGTAAAAGAAAGCCCTCCTTTGCTCGATACCAGAGAGCAGCATGGTGATTCCAGGTACTATTGTCTTCCTGAAGCTAGTGCCTTAGTGAAATCTCGTACCCAGATCGCACCGTATAGCTGTAATTGAACGTGGAAAGTCTGCGTACGAGACCAACTTTAGTGATATCCTCCAGGTTTCGTGACCCACCTATATGAAGCAAGGGGGAAAAGAACCAAGAAATGCCTAATCCCTTTCATGTACATCCTCCTCATTAGAATATATTGTGTTCTTTATGTAGATAGCCTTGTCTCCTTCATCTTACCCACTGTGGAACCATCGTGATGGCTCAATAACATCTTCAGTTTCCTCTTCCTCTCCCCAGTACCCCATCATGACAGAATATCCACGGATGCATATTTCCCCAGGCGTGTTTACAGGCACAATGTTTCCTTTGAAGTCCACAATCTTCATCTGTTGAACGGAAAGGGAACATTTTGACCTTACTTAATAAGACACCATTTTAAAGAGAAGTTTGTCCTGCATATTGCTGGAGATTTTCGAGAAGCAACATGTCATTAAACTGTGTCACACCAGGAGCCATTGTTAATTGATGGTTGTTCCTGCACAGAAGAAACAAGCGAGACTCATTAAAGTCATCACAGGAGACAGTCGCATAAAAAGCCTGTGATTAAGGCTAGATTACCTCTGTGTGCGGGTAAACCTTTCCTACGGTGGTAACTTTTCTTTCCAAAGGGTCATCGAATGGTGTTTGAGTAACAAGTGGGCCTGTCTCTGTCAAACCATAGGCTACCTAGAATTGAAGGGTTACCACAGTGAAAGTAAAAGTAGTGAAAGAGGACACTTGGAGGATTTATGGCATGCATGCGTAATGTAAGTTTACCGTCAACTGCTTCAGGTTCAGTTTACTGATAGCTTGTCTCATTACTTCTTCAGGACAAGATGTAGCTCCAAACAGGCCTACAGGTCAACAAAAACAAAAACTTTGAACATTAGAGATGTTGAACGTTTTTCAAATGCAAAACAGGCAAACGGAACCGGAAGGAGAAAGCGACCGATTTTGCCGCGCTTTGACCTCAACCAATTGTAATCAGTTGGAATTAGATAATACGCCACAGAGAAAAAAATCTGTGATAACCTGCCGGAAAAAGAACGTGCAACAGCAGCTTCAGCCTACAGCTTGGTTCTCAAAAGTGCTTCCTCATTCCATGACCAAGTAGGTTCATGTTACCAATTATGTACAAAATATAGAAATATAGTTCAATTTTCACGTGCAAATAATTAGACCGCGTTCCTCTTCCTGTAAATAAGGCTCTCTCACTCCACCCTCCTCGAGCCAACCCCCCTCCCCGCCTTCGCACCTCACTGACTCCCCCGACATGGAGTGTGGATGCTAACCCAACACAGGTTACCCCCCTCAGTATGTTATGAGGAGAAAACTTGAATTTACCTTTTCTTAAGCTCGATAAGTCGTAATTCTTTAATTCAGGGTGAGCAAGAATATCAATTACCATCGGAGGCGTTCCATACAAAGTGTCACATCTGTAAGACAAACAAACCTCGTGAAAAAGGCGATGCCGTAAGCGCGGATGAAAGTATTATTTTCTATTCTCGACTCCTGACACGAAATTGATCGTGTTCAGAATTCGTTCATTTTCAGCCAGCCAAAGTGCAAGGGGTCACATAATGTACGTGACCTCTCCTCTCCTTATCGAGAAATGAAAATGATAATTTTTAAGTACTAAAACGACGTACTAAACCCCTTAATGTTAGTTCGACGTTAGTGAAACTCCCCTCGACTGACAAATCCTGACTAACGCTACACGTCCTAACAAATGTAAGATGAGGGGCAGTAAAGCAAAGTTATCCAGAGACAGTGCAAAGGAAAAGGCGGGGGAAAAGTATATACGTGAACATTAAGATAATGCTAAAAATGATCTTTCCTACTTCTCTTCTTGTACCGCTTTCAGTATGGCAGTACTGTTATATCCACGGGATGGGTAGACAACAGAAACTCCCCAAACTACATTCACCAAACTATAATATAAAAACAGAAAGATTTTAGCAAACAATCCATTCCCAAATTGCTTTTGTCAGCTATCCTAAAGATCAATCCTCTTATAAAGACGCTTAGGAAATGTTTCTTCGAAAACTGTTGTAAAACAATTGTTTTTATTCACAGTGTAACAAATACACTTGAAAGCCGGGAAACGGAAAGGGGAGAATAGTGGCCCTGGGAACGAGATTATAATCTCGTTAGGGTGACTGACAAGCGCAAACGACTCATGCTGGACCAACTGCGACTTAAGAGGTTTCACGGCTTTAATTTTACGACTTAGCGACACGAGATGGAAGAATATACTTAAACTGATATAGTAGACAAAAGATGGCGTTTAAACCTGGTAACCGTGACACCTCCAGAATGGAACAGAGGCCAGGGATTGCAGATTCTTGATGGCTATATGGGCAACATAAGGAAACAGATGTAAGAAGTAAAAGAGATATACAACAATTATCCATAAAATTGTACTCAATAAAAAGCAATAATTAAATGTCGCCGCATAGGTTAATGAAAATTTTTCAAGTTCAGAAAATTGGAAAATAGCGCGGAAAATCAGAAAAAAAAACTTGTTACTAGAAACTTCGGGAGAATGGATATCGGGTATCTGTGAAGCTCAGGAAAATATGCAACCATTTATTGGGAAGTGCGATAAACGTGTGAGGGGTTAGGGGTTTGGGGCTACGGGTAGGGTTAGCAAATGATTGAATGGCGAGCGCTAAAAGTTAGGAACAACATGGTGATTGAATTGCGCAGATAAACAGGTAACCTGTGGCTGGAAAAAGCAGGAAAACAAGTAATCTGTGCCATGCTAATTAGACTACTGCGTGTAAGTGGTAGGAAAACGTAACTAGCGAGTGGAAATCGTGAGAAAATATCCTTGAAAAAAACACGACAAGTTGCCTAAGGAGAGGAAGAACTGTAGTCAGAAAAAAACAATAAGATAAACACTCATTCTTGACATAGACCCGAGACGCAAAGACGGTATTGTACGGGCAAGTTCCCAGTTTAGAGCGGACAGCATTGTGTCTCATCTCACCTCACTGTAGTTCATGAACTGTCCAATCAGGAACGCGTTGTTCACCAAAGCATGATGGTTCATCGTCACACCCTTGGGACGTCCTGTGGTACCCTGCCGGAAAGACGGAAAGATTGGAGGAGAAGCAAAATCATATCGAGTTTTTGTTTCCGTGCACCATTACGGATAACTGCTTAGCGCGTTTAAGATTTTAAAGAGTTACCTAGTTGTTTTTTAATTGTCTTCCAGTGTGCTGATATTCGAGTATGGACGCTGACATCTGGAAAAAACACGGCAAACTGGCCGAACGACCAAAACCACAACTCACAAATTCCAAAATATGCGCTGCTCTAATCATCACAACGCGCAACAATCACCGTTTGAGTCAAGAATGCCTTTTTATGAAGCTCCTAATTGTTCAAACAGAAAGCAAAAGATGGAAAAGAGGACAGAGCACGTTTACGGTAAGCTGATTTAATTTAAATCGTCAAGAGCTTTGATTGGGAAACGAGAGTTATGCCATATTACGAGGAAAAAACATTTTATGACCTACACTCGGTACTTCCCTAAGTGGAACTGGTAGTAGCTTGTGATGGTTGGCACAACCTTTCCAGGTCGATATAAGCTGATAGAGCAACCAGTTCGTATAACTGGTTTTCTTACCGAAGTAAATTGAAGACATGCTGGTTCGTCAAACTGCAGAGTGCTTTTGTTATGGTTCACTTGGTTTCTGGCACCTTCGCCTGTTGAGTACAGCAACTCCTCAAATGTTGTAGTTCCTCTAAAGTTTGAAGAAATGAAAGTGAGCAATTATTACATCTGAAACACCTGAGGTCTTCTTAATAGTATCCAGGTCACTTTAGCTACCGGCACGAGTTAGGTCATAGCGCGCAAGGATGGTGCGCGAATGCGCAAATGTCCGTGTTTGCGCGTCTGTGTGCGTGACCACACTGATCACGTGATGGGTAGACGTGCTTGTAGTCTAGAACACGCGGTCAATAAAGCAGAGCGAGAAATGTAAATTGTGATCTACGGTCATGGTCTAAAAAACGGCTTCTAAAATTTTAACAGAGCACCGTAAATACCTGAATGATTTTTTGCTTTTGCTTACAACAAAGACATCTTTCAGTTCTGGTAACCTGTTTGAGAATAAAATATGAATTATTACCAACTAAACAAGCGAAAACATTTGCCTCATTTAGCTTCGATATTGCAATCCCTTTCCCCACTCCCCTCGGAAGTCGAATCGAGTCGAGTATGGGCATAATGTTTGAGTGTTGACTGGTAGCAGAGCAGCTCTCGGAGGACTCTCAAATGTATATTAATCTCTTATTTTTGATTACCTCTCAGACTGAAGTTCTCCAGGTTTTGCGTGCGGCAGTTCAGGTATCAATCTTGTCATTGTATCGTAAAAATTCTCTGTTCTGAATTCGTCCACCATCACCACAGCTTTACATCCTGCCTTAAAATAGAAGAACATCACATTTTTTTAAACAACATTATTCGGTCGTTAATTTATCACATTTTAGACCTTACCAGATAAGGTTGAGTTCCGAACGCCTAGAAATTAACTGAGAGGATTACAAAATCGCTGCGAAAATCAATTCTGACGTCACATACCTTTCTAAGCACATACTCTGTCTCGGGTCCTTGGTATGCTGTATTTAAACAAACCTATAGATGGGAGAAAATTCAAGCCATGAAAAAATCGTATTTTTCTCATCTTAAAACGATCCTGATGACGCAAGGAAAAATACTTCGACTTCAAAGGATGGCTGGGCAAAGTCTAGAGAAAACGTTGTTACTCTTTCCAGACCTCTGCCGTTTTCATTAGCTCGCTTTATGTCTCCCTCTATCAGGCCCCCACTTGGTGAGAACCCGGCGTAAACTATAACCTTTTAACAATTGTATCCTTAACGAAATTTCTGTTATTAATAAATCGTGTAATCATAGGGATCTTAATAGACATTTGCGATGTTTATTGCTTATTTACATACCAATATAAGCCCAATTTGAGCTGCTGCAAGCTGTGTTATCAGCCATTCCCTAATGTTAGGTGCCCAGATCCCTAACCGGTCACCTTTTGTTAGTCCTCTTGAAATAAGTCCCTCGGCGAGTTGATCAACCTATAATATTTGTCAAGTTGACAACCGTTACCAAAGATTGACGTAACCTTTATGAAAGTGTTCAAACTCCTGATGCAGGAATTCCAGGGTTGCAAGAGCCGACAGGATCTCGTTGGGAAACTCGGCGGAAAACCCGAGGGATAAGGTAGAAATTCTGGCGGGACCTTGGGAAGGAATCCAGCCAGAGGCCAGACGGGTATTCCTGAGGAAATCCTGGCGGGACACCGGTAGGAATCCGGAGGCAGACTCCGTAGGAAGCCGGTAAAATGTCCCCTGGGAAGCCAGTGGGAATCCCGAGTGGTATTATGGGTATCTTATGGGTGATGTTTTATGTGAAAATAATATCGCGAACGAAGTGTTTCGTCCTGACTGGTGGCCGATCATTTTTCAAAATGTTCCAAAACGATTAGGCTGCAGTTTTGTCGGAGATGTTTCGCGAAGGACGTAAGGTAACCGAAATTCTCGGTTTTTTACCTGTAACTAGAGAGATCGCTGCTACAAGTACAATTAACACTTGATTGTCGCAAGAGTAAAAGATCCGTCGTTCAATATCATACCTCTTGTTGGAATTGTGAAAACGTTGCTCTGTCTCCATCTTCACAGAAAACATATGCCTCCCTATCCGGGAACTTCTCTACAGTCTTGTCAAACATTTGGCCAATAGTGTTCCCCAGGAGGGGTTGGAGAGACGTGCCATGATAGTAACTTTGCGTAAGCTTCTTGTTTGTGCTGAAAACAACTTTGGATTATTAGAACTTCAATCAAGCGATACAACCTATTGGGGTAACAAGACCGTTTGCTTTGGGCCACCTCTGAGAGCGGTTTCCTTCATAACCATTTTTGATCGTGATCATGGGGATTTCTAACGGGTCACGCGCCGCTAGTTAATCAAAGTGTGAGCGACAGCAGATTTACGTTGAGGATGTGGTGAGTGGTATCCGTTGAAAACAAACTTTCATGAGTTGAATGCATTCACCAGCCGTTTTGGGAGTTGCATGTATTTGTAGTAAAGATTTAGATTTAGATTGAGACTACCCTGGTTGAACGGATGGAAAAAGCTAGGGGCCAAAACTTAACAAATCTTTGCATGTTAACATACCTTCTCCTTGAATCAAAATCACGAACGTCTCTTACTGCATTCTGAGTTTGGCATGATTTGGTAGAAACAAACCTTTTCAGATAGGCTCTAAAATATGCCGCTGGTTTTGTATTCTTTAACCACATAATAAAGACTTTTGGAGTCGCAAAGGAAAGGCCAAAGAAAGCGTTGGCAAATTCGTGAACAGAGTCTTCAATCAAAACAAATATCTGCTTCAGTCGAATGCGAACATTACGTGACAAATCTTGTTTCTAAATGTCACGTAATTTGCAAATCGAGTGGCAACCTATGCCGGAAGTGCTATTAGAAAGGAAGTCAAAACCAGCACAGAGTTGACGCAGGCTATCGACTGGGGGACCTAGAAAAAGAAGTCTCCCTCTTCTTTCAATCTAACACGATGGCTCACATTTTTGAGTCTGGTATAGACGACATAAATTTCATGGTAGCCTTTGATCACCTGTTCCCTTTTTTTTTTCAGTAAGAAAAGAGGCAGCGGGCAGAGAGAAGGGAATGATGGGAAAAGATGAATTTTTCCCTATAATTTACGAAAGGTTGCCCTTGTTCAGTAAAGGAGCCCGCGAGCCTTCCCATGGCGCCCCCGATATCTCTTGAGGGAGAGCGATGATCTTACAAAAACGGAACATGAGAAAGCGGCGTAATCAAGCCAACCTCTCCGTCAGCGAAACCGACTGCTACCTTCATTAACATTTCCCCAGCCTTTACTAAATTCTAACTTACATGACTTCTTTTATTAGAGAGTCTGTCATTTATGAAGTTTTATAACCACTTGATAATTGCGAATTCTATTTTTGTTTTCGATTTCTTTAGCACCGAATGATAGCAATGAAATAATAAATAATAATAACAATGATAATGATAAAACACACACTGAATTAGAAGGTTTCAATGTGTAGATTTGAGGATCTAAATTTTTCACAAATGTCACGCTCATGCTACTATCACACAAGCAAATTAATTCCATGTTTGTCCTTTTTTTTTTTTGTGACGTCTTAAATATCGCCGATCACTCTCCCTGTTTTCGTCTTTGCTACTTGATAGCCTGTAACTTTAGGCTGACAAACGAAATTAATGTGCACTCTTTGGGGTTATTACCCAAGACTGCGTTCAGAAAAATATTTAAAAATTCTCTCATTAACATAGTGTCTTTGGGTAAGTATGCAGCATTTTGATTCGTGAATAAACAATTCGTTTGTGAGGAGTTACTAAAATCTTCGCATTTTGCATTTTTCATAGCATTTATTTGATCTTTGCCTCTAGCGTCAGAGGCATTTTCAATTATTCATGACATTCCTGGTGTTGGAAATTACCACGCAAACTAAATATTAATGTCTTTCTGAAACCTTTTTTCTCTGAGATTGTCTCTTAGCAATAATTACACCTTCAGAGGAGTCGAAACAAACGGAAGGAGAGATATTACAAAAAAATCGATAGACTGCGGAAAAATGAATCATTTATCTCAAGCTTGAAGCTCTCGAATGTGAATATAAAAAACTGTATTGTCTGGTAACAGTCGCATGTTGCGAGTTTTACTCTTTATTAAAACTGAAAATAATTGAGAAGAAACGCTGTGGCTTCACTGGTGCCTTGTTTGGTTTCAACATGCTTTGTTTTGACGGGCAAAGAATTTTACCATTTAGTATCAACTCACCAAACTGCTTGTCAAACTAACAAACACATGATTATTTTGCGCGTCACTGATTGGTCGGTAAATATTGTCGGTCTGGGCTAAATGACCCTCACCCGTACATACCGAGTTATTCGTCCGTCGCTTAGACAAGCGATTTTAAAGAGATGTCGGCTGCCGATTTCGACTCGCTTGATTTCATCACTTTCCAGGCAGATTCGAGCAGAGGCAAGGTAAGAAACTTCGAGGGTTTTCGTGTCGTTCGCGAATTTTGCTACAACTGTGTTACATAGTGATCTCTCATTCGAGTGGTCTCCAGAGGCGCTCACTATAAACTTACAAATCCTTTTAACAAGCGCTAAAGCAATTGCAGAATTAGATTCCTCTATACGAAACACTCCTGCTGATAGAGAGAATGTAACCCTCTCGTGATCGCTGATCGGTTAGGAAAAACGTATCACACAGAGTTAAATTTCTTGCGATGTGGACACACCTTCGGTGTGTAAAAATAATCGCAACTTAAGACAGCTGTGTTCACTGCAAATTTGGCTTCGATGTACTATGTTGTCGAGTGTATTTTCTCTCATATCAGACAGATTTCTGAACTGCTGTATTTCGAAAGCTTTAAGGACAAACCCTACGGTTCAAAGCGGTGAGAAGATGCTAAGATGTCTTGTAAAATCACTACCATTCTGAATTTTTTGTGCCAGTTCTTTGGGTGTGCCAATTGAAACTAAAAATTCTGTTGCGATCTTCTCACATGTCTTTAATTCTTTCTCATTACTGTAAACGCTTAATTGAAAGCTCAAGGCCTCCTTAGTGGATATAAATAACTTAAATGCTACAAGTAGCTTGCTAGAATTTTCTGAGAGTTTTTATCGCCTCTGCCTAGTTGACCTTCAGTGGAATGCAACAACAAACAGAATGCAAATGCCCGTAGGTGCCCCTTTACTGATATCTCGAAAACACATTGTTTTGATGTCAACTGGCAAAGAAAACTCGTTTGAAACCTTTTTTGGTAACTATCAGAAGCAATTTCAAGGGCAACGATAGCGATCGTTCAATTTAAAAGTTCAATTAAAATTAAGAAACACTTCTTAGAGACTTCACATTGGAATACAGTTTAATTTGTGTCTCTACATTATTCAAATTCATTTTGTAAATACAAAATTAGTGTAGCATTAAGCTAACACAGAAGCAATAATAATAGTACAAGAATTAGAACACTGCATATCTCAAATGATCCTTCTGTAATTCCATTTGAGGAAAGGTTGAAATATCGAGAGATGACCTCGACCACGAAATCGTGACGAAGAGAAATTCTATTCATTTGTTAAATTGTTCCATTTGAAAATGGTAAGAATTATTAATTACTTCCTAGAGACTTTGTCATGGTCAACTGAATCCTATATCTACAAAACTTCCATCAGTGCATATTCAATTTTAAGTCAAAACTTTCTATGCAAAATAGATGGATTTAACATTCATTAGTTTCATCAACAACAGTTTATTACGACATGCCTGTGTCGTCAGTTCATTGTTAACAATCTACAGGGGACAGAGAGTAACCTAAACATGGCCAAGCTGAAATTTTCAATGCTGAAATGAAAAATCCCATAGTTGACTGGACAAAGCTATTAGCAGCTGTGCTTCATGTAAACTTTCATGCCTTATAAAGCAGAACACTGCCATTTTTTCCACAATTGAATAAACACTTCACGTGTAGCCACTCTGTCACATATGACATCAATTTAAAAAGTTGGACCAACTTTCTTGCTATAAGTACTACTGCTTAGCAGTCTGTTTCAACTGATCACTGGAAGGAATGGAGAATGTGCCATGCAGTGTGATCCTTTTTAACAATCACATACCTCCTATGTAACATAATCAATCATTGCTATCAAATGAGAAATTAAAACTCACAATTTTCCCTCCAAAACACAAAATTTTCCCACGCTTGGCATTGACGTGGTGTCATTGATATGAAGTGTAAGTGGCTGATCTTAAGATTGTTCACTTTATATTGTCATTCTTGGTCCCTATAACAGAATTGTTTTGGCACATGGCTCTTACTCTACCTGACCTAAGAAAGGCTAGAAAAACAAAATCTATTGTCTATCTTAAGTTAAATCAAGATAGAAGCCTTGTCTATAGAAAAAAAAATCCCCACTTTCCATACTATGATAGATATCTTCTAAAGTTATGCATATTAATCCCAGGGGGAAAAGGATTTGAGAGGGGGGGGGAGGAAGGTTATGAAACTACCTTGACAAGGGTGATATTTTACTTTAGTTGGCCACATAGGTGATAAAACTGATATTTTTTGTTAAAGAAGCATTTTAGTTTTGAGTAAATTTTGCGGCTACGCATAATGTACCTTGCATCTTTTCCAACATTGCATTATTTGTAAACTTTACAGGAGCCATTGGTTGCAGGTGAGATTGAAGGGCAGCCATGTCTGGACTGCAATTGTCGAGGACTTTCTTCTCATCCATGGAGGTGAGAGTGGTGGTGGAATTTGCACTACATGTGCATCAGAATACAGAAAACACTCTGAATACCTCTGAAAAACTTTTCCAGGACAGATCTTTATAAGTATATATAGCACTAAGCATTATTCAATGTTTTCTCAAAGTGCTTGTTATTAACTTTTAGGGACTAAAACTTAGCTTTTACCTGAAATGACAACATTTCAGGCACCGGTACATCTCTTGGTGGCAGCAGTAAATGGCCTTACTTGTTTAATGAATTGGAGGCGTGCTGCAAAGCTTACAAGCATCTCCCTGTAAACACTTTGTTTCTCATTTTCAGAAAGAGCTGCATTTTCTGCAAATGTCCATTAGAGTGCCATGACATTCCTCTGAATGCAAGCCATAATAATTTGCCAGAAGACCGTATGGGGGTTGAAGAGAAGCCACCAAAGCCATCATTGACTAAAGTGAAGGAAGCGAATGCAGAGGGATTTGTATGGGTGCCTGCTGGTCTGACAGGTGGCCAGGTATGTTACACCAGTTATTTGTAATAGTGACCAGGAATCTTAAGTGCTTGATGTACCATGAGAGAATTGAATTGGATTCCTCCCCAGAATATCAATACAGTAACAAGCCAAGATTTTGTAAGAATGTCAAAAAATATCAACTAAGAAATTATTTTGGATTTTACTCCAAATTCTCTAAACCAGCTTAATAAGAAATGTCTGATAGACAGTTAGGAGAATTATTGTCAAGTTACTGGAGTGAAAGGGTTCATTAGACAAGGAATGACAAATTTATCACTAGCAATTTTCATCTTGATAAGACCTTATTTTGTCTGACCTTATTTATAAGGAAATTTTTTGGAGCTGCAATTACAAATTATTATGATTCAGTCAGATTTTGTGAATTGAAGGATTTATTTTGTTTTTAAGATCACAGAATTCATGTCTAAGCTGCCAGAAGATAAGGTCCCAAAACTTGATTCTAAGGGTGCTAGGTTTTGGTTGAAGCAGCGTGTTTACCAGATGCCACTGCAAGATTTCTCTACAAAGCATTGCCGCAAACTGGCACTGGATCAGAAGATGGCTATGGATGACATGTGTCTGAAGAGGCTAGACAAGGCTGTGGGAGTTGGTAAGAAATTGTGTATTGCCATTTCAAACTAATAAGCACACTATGCTGACAGTATAAGCCATTATTTTCTTTGCAGGAGCAGTGAAAACAGGCCTCACCATGCCAGCATCATGCACTAAGTGCACGATCCCAATGAATGTTGGTGAGATGGCTGTGTTTGCCATTCGCTCAGGACCAGACTCATGCTGGCATGTGCAATGTTTTGTGTGCTCAGAAGATAGTGAGCTCCTAGTTGATCTTGTCTACTGCTGGGATGAAGAAAAGCAGAAGCTATTCTGTCCAAGGCACTGGAGCGAGTCACTAAAGCCTCGCTGTGCAGGATGTGAGGAGGTATGAATGTGTTATGATAAACTTTGCAATGGAAATTTATTTGATGTTAAGCATGGTTTTTGCTGTTACAGTGATCACTAAATTATCAACTTGCTGGCTCTTGGGGTCAATTTTTCATCTTGGTAGCTCATATGCATCAGTACTTATCATCATCATTGTCACATGTGACACAACGACATGAAGCAAGATATCTGCAAAATTTCATGTTGATATTAAGTCAATGGTCAACTCAACACAACTATCAAAATTGAGCGTTATTGATTTGTTGATAGGCAACACTTTTTATGATTTATCATTTGGTATTTATAATGGTAATTGAACTGAGTGGAGCGCAATTTGGGCTGAAATCATATGCGTGATTTCAAAATTGAATGAGCATGCAGCGCGAGTTCCATTTGAAATTACAAGCATAATTTCAGACCAAGGTTCAATTACCACTTTATTACATCCATTTTGAAATTGCTCAAATACAGGACATTGCCAGTTCAAATATTTCATTGATGCAGTACTGAGCTGGTTTGAAATTAAATTCATCCTTATTTAGGGGGGAAAAAATAACAGTTTTTGAAACAAAGGTAGCAAAATTTGCCACATGATACTCTTTGTCTCACATTTTCCTGTAATTTGATTGGTTACTTTAAACAAGCCTTGAAATCTGATTGGTGGTTGTGTTTTTACTGAACCCTCCTCATTGGCTGGGAAAAAAAGATGTTATTTAAAACAAAAGATGGTGAGATTTGTCAATAAATTGCACCGATTAGAGCCAATCAGATTACAGGGACCAGCAGTGATTTCAAAATGGGTGTAATAAATTTTAGAATTACCTTTTTCCCAGTTGATCTATGTAGGGGAATATTCCCAGGCTATGGACCAGAACTGGCATCCAGGTCACCTTTGCTGTTACTACTGTGATGAGTCATTGTCAAACCAGAAATTTGTCACAGTGGATGAGCAGCCTTCTTGCATCAACTGCTATGATAAAAAATTTGCCAATAAATGTGAGAATTGCAAGATTCCGATTGGTCCTGGCACTAAAGATGTTGATGTTCGTGGTAAACACTGGCATGAGGAATGCTTTGTATGTTCACAGCCAGAATGTAAAAAGCCTTTGGTAAGTTTCAGTCCTTGGACATTGCTCCATGGTCTCAAAATTTAGTCCTCATGAAATACTGTTGACCCTTTAACTCCTATGAGTGATCAAGATAGAATTCCTCCTTACAGTATCAATACAATATCAACTAGATTAGTGAAGAGAATAAAGAAAAATATCAATTTGGGGATAATCAATTCATCCAATACAAAATTCTCTGAACTAACATTTTAAGAATTGTATGGTTGACAGTAAGGAGAATTACAAATTTGATCTGGGAGTTAAAGAGTTAAGTACCTGTGGTGGTCAGAGCAATTTTCAACTGAGCATCAAAAGAGATTGCATTGGTTTTTATGTGACTAGTCCAGAAAACTTGTGGCACTCTTAACCAATCAAATACAAAACTAAAACCATTCACGACCTGGTAACTTGTCTGAAGGCAGTTTGATTGATTTTTTACTTTGAGTTCTCTTTGGCTTTTAACCCTTAAACTCCCATGAGTGACCAAGACAGAATTTCTCCCTACATTATTCAAACAATATCAAGCAGACAAGTGATGAGAATAGAGAAAAATAACAATTAGGGGTTATTAGCTGATCCAATACCAAATTCTCCAAACTAAGAACTGTATAGCAGACCATATGGAGAATTACTCTTGTGATCTTGGGAGTGAAAGGGTTAAACTTTCTTCTGGTTGGCTGTTATGATTACCTTGGTTTCAGTTTTACAACAGTTAATTGAAAAGAGCTCTAAGTGCAATTTTTGTGTTTTACACCCTTCTTGTTATTATGCATTACAACTTTGCAGGATTTTTCTTTTAGGGATTAAAGTTATAGAATACAGCCATAAAAGTGGTATAATTTTGATATCTGACAGCTAGCCTTAGTCAGAGTGCTTAGTTTAACCCTTTAACTCCCAGAAGTGATTAACATAAAACTTCTCCCTACAATATCCATACATTCTTCAGCAAACAGGTAATGAGAATATTCAAACTTATCAGGTTGAAGCTGTTATCTTGATCTAGCACCAAGTTCTCATAACTAATTACAAGGAATTGTGTAGCAGCTACAGGGGAGAATTAACAATCAGATCTTGGGAGTTAAAGTGTTAATGTTTATTTGATTTTGTAGCTAAATCAAGGGTTCACCTTCAAGGAAGACAACTTGATCTGCCACTCCTGTCGTGGAATTACCCCATCCAAAGTTTGTGAAATATGTGGTAGAGATTTTGCTCCAGGGGAGAAGAAAGTTGGATATCAGAGCAAAACCTTCCATGAGAAATGTTTTATATGTGATGAATGCAAACAACCTATTGGTACTCAGCAGTTTATCAGAAGAGAGGACAAGCGCCTGTGTGGAAAGTGCTATGAGACTGGTTATGCCAGGGTGAGTGACAAGACAATGCTTTATCTTTGGCATCAAAGGAAGGAGAGAAGGATGGGGTCATTTTGCCACTTTGTAGATCAAAGCTTACCCCCCTTCCCCCTCCCCCCCCCCCAAAAAAAGGTCCAAAATCTAGACTAGAGGTGATATGTTTTGATTTGTTTGGCAAATTAGAATTAGCAATTGGGGCTTTTCTCTCCCAAGATCTCATCAATAATTTGCCTTGCTTTCTGCTTTACAGGTTCAGAGAATTTGGTATTAGATTAACCAATTATCCCCTAATTGATGTTTTGATTTTTTATTCTCATCACTTGCCTGCTTCATATTGTATTAGTTTAGTGAGGAGAAATTCTGTCTTGGTCACTCATGGCAATTGAAGGGTAAAAAATTTAAGTGGCAGAGACAAACAAATTTTGGGTGACGTTTGTTTCAGGGATAGAGCATTTTACTTTGAAATTACCTTCATACCTTCATATAAAGTTCCTTTTAGCTCCTTGGTAAATGGGCAAGACCAGTGTTCAGTCAATGAAGTCACTGGTTGAAATTGGCTCATATGAAAAAGTCTACATTGCAGACAAAAAAGAAAGGTTTAGGGTTGTATTTGCCTGGCTACTACAACCTGAAAATATATCAATAATTTTAACGTCATACTTCATACCAAAAAAAAAAAATTAACTGGAGTTACAAATTGATTAATGACATTTTGAAATTTATTTTGCAGATCTGTGTCAGGTGTAATGAGCCTATAAAAACTGCTTCAGTAAAGCATGATGGCAATGTGTACCACTCAGAATGCTTCACTTGTACAATGTGCGCACAACCATTGGCAGGAAAGCCATTTACCAAGCATGAGGGAAATAATGTTTGTCAAGATTGCTACCGCAATAATTTTGCAAAGAGGTGTGCAGCTTGCGAGAAGCTGATAGAAGGAAGTGTCAAATTTGTAGCTTATGGTGAAAAATTTTATCACCGAGATTGCTTCACATGTGCCAGATGTGGTATGGCTTTGGCTGGTGAGAAGTTCCGTGTGGTAGAGGATGAGAAAGTGTGCATCAAATGCAGTTCTTAAATTAGTTAACTGAAAAACTACTTGATTCTGCAAAGCTGGCAGTAATTGAATAATTAGATAGATAAATAAAGTGTATTTGTCATTAATTCTCTTGAAATCAGGAGTGAACGTGCTGGGCACGTCAAAGTCTTAGATTTAGGATAATTTTTTACAACTACTGCCAACTATGCAGGGTCACTTTGCTATTACTTAATTAAAGACCAAACTATATCTCAAAGATTTACTGTTTTACATTTGAAAAGGAGTTCTATTTAAATTTCATTTTTAACAAAGCATTTAGAAGGCAAATGTGGACATGTTTGGGCTGATTAATGAATTTATCACACATACAAAGTAGTTCAATCTTATTTTATGAATTTCTCAATAAGATGATCTAAGATTTTGATGAGGAGTTTGCATTTTTGTTTTTGAACCATGACTTGGTGGCCAAACTGTTAGCTTGCTGGACTTTGGGTTGAGAGGTCTGGGTTCTAGCCCCAGTGGGGTCATTGTGTGGTGCTCTTGGGTAAGAACTGGGTAGCGGAAAACTGCTAGGGAATCCTGACAAAATGCCGAGAGTTATCCTGTGCTGGACCAGCATTAAATCTGAGGGGAAGGAGGAGGGAGGCAACAATATCCCCTGTTGCCTCTTTCTGCAGAGAGCACAGACTGAGGTCAGCTTCAGTGCCTGTGGACCATGCAGCTGAACCCTTTAACTCCCATGAGAGACCAAGACAGAATTTCTCCTTCCGATATCAATACAATATCAAGCAGACAAGTGATGATGAGAATAGATAAATTATTGATTAAGGGATTATTAGTTGATCCAATACGAATTTCTCCAAACAAGCATCACAAGAACTATACGGCAGACAGTAAGGAGAATTACTAATGAGATCTTGGGAGTTAAAGGGTTAAGTACAGAATTCTCTGTTCCTCTCATCTAGTCTAACAGAATATTTTACACTGTGGTTAGGTTATTTTATGGATTCATGAATGGACAGTGTCTTCCTTTTCTTGAAAACATAGAACAGTTGCAGTAGTTTTACTTTACATCAAAACAATGAGAAAAGTTGCAAGAGATTATCAGAATTATATTTTTTTCCCAAAGTGTTGAAAGAGTGGTTGACAGTCTGTATTAGCCTTCAAATATTGTGTGAACCCAAATTTAAGTTATCTTCACTTCTTACTTAGCAGAGTAAGATAATCTACATTTTAATATGATGTAGTTGCCTGGAACATCCAGTAATGTGTTAAAAAGTTATTCTATCAATAGTATTGTTAAAAGAAAGGAGTTAAGATTTCTATGGTCTCTTTTACTGTTCCTTAAATGAATTAGGTACTCATAGAATTAGGCACTCACAGAAAAAGCTATATGTCACATTGGGCAGTCTTGCATGATTTAAGCTTTCATTCCCACACTGTTTTGCTTTTTGATAAGACAAATGCAGCTCAGAGTACTGGGAGTCAGAGGGTATTCAAAGCTGAAGGCTTACATGTATTTAGTTTTAATTTAATTTAAAATTTTCACGCAGGGTTGAAATGTGAGTAGAAAACATTGAACATGGAAAATCCCTTTTGGGTTAAAAGCAGCTGTAGTAAGAGAAATAAGTACATAATATGGTGAGGAGCTGAACCATAAACTATGACAGTATGGTTCTATGATAATGAAATATTAGGCAAGGTATTGCTGAGATGGAGTTGTATATAGTTTAGAGGTGCAAAGAAGTAGAGAATTGTAAGTTAAGGTAAAGAGTCAAAGTAACAGCTCTCATTTGAAATGTGAAGGGAAATTACACTCCAGTGTAGAGGTATGGTTTACTGGTAATGATAAGAAAGAGAGAGATGCCAGTATTTCCATCTATGCCTAAAGTGAAGCATTTCCATGTAAACATTTCTGTTTAGAAACTATTTAAAGACCTTAAATTAGCTAGCTAGTAAAGAAAATTAAGTGTTATTCCAATAGGACAATAATTATTAGAAGAAGAAATTATTGTGGAAACTTAGGATGATGATAATAAATTGTTGTGATCTCAATGAGGTATTGTTAGAGTGACGTTTGGGCTAATTATTTATTTTTCTGAAGGAGAATGTCACTCTTCTGACCCAGACCAGATTTAACCATTTTTATTCCTAGCAGTTACCAAAAGTGGATTTCTCCTTACAATTTCTATACATTTAAAAGCAAAACGATGGTGAGAATAACAAATTTTAGCAAGTAAGGATATTGTCATATTTAGTAGCAAATCCTCAAATCTTGAATTTTAATTAAGAAATGTATGGCTTTTAGTGACAACGTGACAACATTAAAATTGAATAAGGTTCCTCTTCTTTACTTCTACTCTCAAAACTGCATAGTATAAAGAATGGAAAATAGAAATTTTCAAAGAAGGAAACGAGACGGATCTTGAACTTTACCTCCCCGGGCGAGGTTTATAATCCCATAATCTCTGATCCAGCTGTTTATCGTCATCTAAATACGAGTGTTCTTTGAAAAAAAATCCAAAAGAAGAAAAAAAACGTAATTAAGAACGGATAAGCAATTAGATAAAACTTGAAAGAAGGATTTTCTAGGCTTTACTCTAAAGGATTAGCATTAATCGGCTTTTGAGCCCTTATGCGGGTCAAAGAACGTGCGGTCGCGTGACAGAAGGAATTTGTCGCGCACAGGCAACACGTGACGAAAATTCGTCACGAGAGCTACGTTCAAAGTGCACTAGTTTGCGCAGCTGGCAGTTTACTAAACCGCCAGCTACGTAAGTTGAATTACACCTCACTTTAGTAAGCTTAGGTCGTCATACGGGTCTTCAAGTCCCGAAAAAGAGGCACTTACAGCTTGGATAGTTTGGAAGACGAAGACGCCACGGTGGACGAAAAGCGGGCGGCACCATTCAGGGATCGCTGGGTGAAAGGCGACCAGGCGTAGATTCTGGCGGGAAATATTGGCGAGGTTTGTTCGGACAAGTTCAGTGGTGATTTCTGGACAATCCAGCTGGCTTTCATCAGTTATCCCTTTTAATCAGGGGTTTTGTGTTTGAAAGATATTCTTTTTTCTTTCTCCGCTTGTCTGGGGAATTTGGGCCTGGAATATCGATTAAAATGAAGGAAATTAGTGCGTTGTTGGTGAGCAGAAAGCGAAGCAGTTGTCTGGAAAGGTAAGGTAATTCATTGTTTTATACATTGCAAAACTGATGGTGTGAGTGAGTGCAATCGCATTTGTTGTTATAAGTGTATAATATCTCAGAAATTTACTCAAATAGTGTTTGTTTCTCAATGGTGTAAAGAATTTGGAATAATTATTCTTAAAGGGGCGACTTATTTGAAGTTATGACGGCACAGGTAACGGTATTCAACGTTAATACCCACGTCACCCGTCTTTTTTTGCTTCGTGTTATCACTTGTCTTAACCCACAACCCCAAAGAATGACTAGCATCTAATTTCTCCTTACAATATCACCCCTGAGTCATGTAGTAAGGTCATGAGAATAAAGAAAATTATAAGCAGCTAAAGAAGCTGTTGATTGTTACACAAATTCTCCTTGCCAGCACCTCAGGGAATGTATAGAGAACAGTATGGGGAATACCTTTACTGATGTTAGGGTGTAAAGGCTTAATCTTGGAAGTTGTATCTAAGCTTTAATTTTTTTGTCTACACTATGATAACAGTGTTGAAGTGTACTTGTTTTAATGAAGATTGCTAAAAATAGTGGCTTTGCTATCAGATACTTGTTCTGATTACTGCAGTTGCTAAAGGTGGTTATTTACTTCAAAGTCTTCCTGTTCAGAGGGTTGATAATGCTTAAAATAGTTGGGTAACTATTTATCGAAAGTATAAAATCAATGGTTACTTATGAACCATCTAAAATACTGGGAGGGGATAAGTCTGCTGCATTATTCGTAATCATATATGCTGTGGAAACCTAATTCAATTTCAGTGATGAGAAAATGG